TGCATATGGCTCAAGAATTTTCACAGTGTCAGTGAAAATGTCCAATGTTTATTCAACCATTAATTCACCCTCAACCCATGCATGTACAGGCTGAAGTTATCTGGTATGCCTATATGCACATGGGAAAAATTTTGAGTACAAAAATAAAAGGTTGACCAACAATCTTGCTAGAATTTTTAATCAATACACCCATGGGTGAAGACCTTGGAACTTCTTAAAGAGGGACATGATTTAAATCCATTTCAAAGGAATGTTGTCACCCAAATATTTGGCTTAAAAACTGTATTATGCATTTCCAGGGAGCTGGTTCAAAAATCTCTTGGAAAATATTTCCAGGGGAGCCAATGAAAAACATTATTTTTGGAAACTCCAGGATGTTTTGAAGGTCTTCACCCAAAATCACTACTTAAATACTGAACACTGAAAAATATTTGGGTTTTTATCAAATTTGCCAATCATCATTTGCTTCTTCATCATAACTTGCCCAGTCTACAAATGGGAAAAATTGTTGTCAAAAATGTTGTGTCTTGGGCAGGCAGGCATTACTTATTACTTGATTAGTCTATTACAAAGTCATGGGTAGCCTGTCCTCTCATCTAGGTGCATGCTTAACATGATTGGTGCATATAGAAATTATTTTGGAAAAGATTGTCACTATATTATTTCATACATACAATAAAATAAATAAGCATCTGTTAAATTCCAATTATTATTAGCATTCACAAACAACAGTGTTACTACAGCCAAAATAGCAACAGAATATATAAATCACAGACAAAATATATAAATCACAGACACAGCTGATTGAGCTGAATGCTTATAAATGGAACTACTGAACTTAGTGAACTACAGTACATACAAGTATACAACTGCAAAATATCAGTAAAAAGTTGTAAAAACAGATTAAGTCATTAACTATATTCTGAATTCACATGACAATTGCTAATGTAACCCCCTGCACTCTTAATTCCTGACTATCAGACAAATAGCAAAAAATAGCATGAATGTGTTTATATTGTTAAGTTTTTAATAGTCAAAAGATTCACACCGTACCTTAAGATAGAAAACTTTTGCCGTTTGTCAACCAAATTCTTTGTCAAGCAAAGTTTCTTCCTTTCCACAAAAGATCCACGATATTTTACACAAACTTACAGGTATATTAAAGCTAAACTAGTCAAGCAGGCTAAGCCCATAAACCAAAATATGGCAAAATATTTACAATTCCCGCTCATATCAAAACAATTTTGTTGAAAAAAAAGAAAAAGAAACTGCAAATCTCTCCCAGATTTACCTCTTCCCATAGGCAAACCTGAAAACAAAAATAATTCAACAAAAATCAGCGAGATTTCAAACAATATCCTTGATTTCGAAACAATTTTTTTTGCGATCTTTTTAGTAAAAAATGCCCGCCATTTTGTAAGTTTTCGGGGGGGTGAATGCCTCTCCTTAGCGCACTGGCTAAGCTTTTGGTTACACTCAAACATTAGCGTTTCGTAATACAGTTACACCTCTGTCCAGTATCTACTCTGTGTCGTCACGCTAACTTCCGTCATTCGAAATATGGGATCAAACTTCAAATGTGAAAAAAACCTGTTTATATGCACATGGAGGGAGTTATAAACAGATTTTCTACCTAGAGATTTCATATAAATGTGATCATGCAGCAGTGTGATGGTCTTGGTTATTTTAAGACCTTTATTTGGTGTCGTAAATATTGTGGCAATGAGTTGTAAAATGTCGAGATTTTATATAAGTGAACAGTTGTTCACACTTTGAAGTTGTTATGGAAACGTTTACCGCAAGAAACAAAAAGTCAAAGCAAGATAACAAAGAAAGCTACAGTAAAACTGACTCTATGGTTGACTCTAAACTTAAACAACTCAAGATAAGTCGTGAAAAGACGGATTTAAACAAAACTGATGAAGTACAGCCAGATTCAAAAGTGATTTCAAGTGTTGGCAATCAAAGATTGTTAAAATTTGGATCTGTCACGCTATCAAGCTCTGCAAAGACACCAAAACCACCAGAAGTTCCAAGGTCTACCACATTTTGTCGCAAGGGCACAGCCAGTAGACTGGGGGGTGATGGAGAAGCTTGTGAAGAGGGGGTTGAAGAGATTGATTATTGTTGTATTGAAAGATTGCCAGGTGATGGTTGCTTTTCTGAATGCACTGAAGATGATGATGATGGTAATTTATCTGATGGTTATTATGAAGATGATCTCTTAGAAGAAGGAATTGATGATATTAATGATGAATCTTGCTCAGAAGGTATTCTTTCACTCTTTGATAGCCAAAACGTCTCACACATCAAATCAAATATCAGTTAATCGACCTTCCGCTCGCCCAGGCCCCTATACTTTTCACATGAAGCGTGATTGGGTTATTTTACTACCTGTGAATCTGTGATTTGTGATTGTAATGTTTCAAATCTTTTTGTGTGTACATGAAAGGAACTTTTGATTTAAATGTGACCCATGAATGAAGGAATAGAATTATATTATTATGTGAATTGTGATTCATGAAATTAGTTTGTTTTGCATGAACAGTTTTTTTTAGGATTCACGAAAGTTCTGTTGATTCTGTTGTTACAGGAGATCATTAGTGCTTTACCTCTCTACACACAGAGTTTTCAAATTAAGCCTATTAATCTCATTCTACCTGGTTCAACTTAAAACTCTGTAGCGAGAGCAGGCCTTACAATATCTTTTACAGGGATATCTGACAAAATGTCTGATGACTGTGAGTTGTGTCCAACATATGTGTGATGATATCCCATGACCTTCAGTTCAGTTTGGCTTGGGAATAAGTCTGAATGACACACATTAATATCAGCACAATGTGTTAATTCCAAATGGTAAATATTGGGAAGATGTTTGTGGTGTTACTCTAATGCATCCGCCCCGGGCAAGCTGAAAAGTTTGCCTGACCATGGTGGGAATTGAACCCTGCAAATACCATATTCACCTGAGTACATAACAACAACAAACACAAAAAGTATTGGGAAGATATTAAATAATTTGTGTCATTCATATTTATTTCTAAGCCAAAATTAACTTGCTTGACTATAACTAGTAGTATTAGACTTTGACAGTAATGTTTATTTCCCAAACCAGTTTGACATATTTTTACAAATGACCAATCACAGGCGAGATTCAAGTTCTGAACCTAATCAAGTGTGGAAGTGGGTTTTGCAACCAATGTGACCAGAGCCTCTGGAACCAGGGTATCTTTACATCGGACAATTTCACAATTGTAATGGTCAAATTTCAAAATTCAAATGGAGACCTTCAGGGTGTTGACACAGAGGGGGCTTTAGCAGCGACTATGAGTACGAGATTTGATCATGTGCGAGGAAGTTGTAGTCATTCTCGTCTCCATTCAATTGTTACTTTTATAGCTGCAGTAAACAAACAACGAGAGAAAACGTTTCTTTAAATAAAATATTCAAGAATACAAAGGAATTAAAATAAAGCACAAAGCCATAATGTCCCACAGAACTATAAAAATTTTGAAGCTAGGATTTTGCCATGTTTGTTGACATATTCTGATTTCCTTAGCCTGCGCACAGACTATATAATCTGCGCACAGGCTAGATTTCCTGCGCTCGCCCAAAATAAATAATTATGCTACTCAAAATTCCTGTATAATTTACACTTCCGCTTTAAAAAACTGTGCCGGATAAACTCTACAATTATTTTTGTAGAAAAGAAGAAAAAAACTTTGTTTTTCAAAAAGTCGTGAGGATTAGGAGAATAATTTCTCCAATTTTCGTACTCAGATGGGTGACGGCTATGTGATTGTGTATACAGTGTGCATTTTGCAATTTGACAAATCTTTTTTTTTTCTGTGTTGGTGTTGTGTACTCAGGTGAATATGATATTTGTGGTTTTACTCTGAGTGTATATCCACACCGGGCGAGCTTGAAAAATATGCCCGGCCACGGTGGGATTCGAACCTACGACCTTTGGAATACTAGCCCAATGCTCTTCCAACTGAGCTACACGGTCAGGACGGTTCGAGTAAGTGATATTTCGGAACAGAATCTAGTTCCTTCGATACCAATGTATTCTAGTAAATAAAATATGACTTCTTTTTTTTCTGTGTTGGTGTTGTGTACTCACTGGTGAATATGATATTTGTGATGTTACTCTGAGTGTATATCCACACCGGGCGAGCTTGAAAAATATGCCCGGCCACGGTGGGATTCGAACCTACGACCTTTGGAATACTAGCCCATTATGCTCTTCCAACTGAGCTACGCGGTCAGGACGGTTCGAGTAAGTGATATTTCGGAACAGAATCTAGTTCCTTCGATACCAATGTATTATTACTAGTAATATGATTTTTTTTTTTTTCTGTGTTGGTGTTGTGTACTCAGGTGAATATGATATTTGTGATGTTACTCTGAGTGTATATCCACACCGGTGTATATCCACAAAGCTTTCAATCTCTAATCAAAAGTGACGCCAGGCTCATTTTGCCAAGATCTTATCTACTGTGGTAGTATAGAAATGGGTGTTCATATTATCTTGCCAAAATCTTGGTACATTGTACATTGACAATTATGACAAAGCTTTAATTATTGTACCTTCAGTTGCTAATAATGGTATTTCATGTTAATTTGTGCCATGATTTGCCAACTAAAGATGTAACTAAGGTCTTAGATCTCAGCGTTATCTTAATGATTTTGACATGGTCCTATTGCAATCATGTCAAAATCTTGCCATAGCTTTATCTTGGTAAGATCTTACTAATAGTTCGATCTTACCTTGCCTGCATGTGGTCACCACTTTCTGAGAAGGACCTACATTAATTTCATAGACTTGCCATTTATCCTTGGCTGTTCAGAATTTGAAATCATAATTTTAATTACAAAGACATTCAGACATTTAACTCTCAAACTATAATTTATAATTTTTATTAAATTTAACAGTTTCTTATTGGCATGAACACGAAGATCTCGTTTCTTGACTTTTTTAAACTGACCTAAACGGTTTCTATCATATTGTTAATTATATGCAATTCATAACGCCTAAAGTCACAGGTAAATCACGAGAAACAGCTCGGATTACATAATGTACTGATCGAAGTGCAAAACATCCCTGTTTCCTGTGAAAGTCAATCAGTGCATTAAAATCTGCTCTGTATATCCATTTCAATACTATCTTTGATCCTGAAATTACTTCAACTTGGAAATCTATTTGTTTCAAATTCTCAACCACACGAAATCTGGCTTCTTTGTCATTTCGTAATGCAAGTGACTCTAAGTATTACTCTGTTCTAAACTTTCGATCTGTAGTCTATGATGAAAACATTTTTGCCAAGTTTGCACGAAATGCTTGCCCTGATTTTATCCTGTGATCTTCCGTGAACTGTCTAACGCCCATATTCTAAAAGCTCACTCACACTCAATGAGTGGAGGTTCAATCTAAGCTTCTCTTGAGTGTCAATGCTGTTTTTGAATAGCTGGAGGGTGAGTAGTCACATAGTAACGTATGGCACTAGCCCTCCAGCTATTCAAAAGCAGCATTGACGCTAAAGAGAAGCTCAGATTGAACCTCCACTCATTGAGTGTGAGTGTGAGTGAGCTTTTAGAATACGGGCGTAAGAGCTAATTAGTTGGAATTACGAGAGTGAACAGTTACTCAGTGAGTATTTTCATAAAATACGCAACAACAATAATTTAAAATTAACATTCGTTGAAATTAGTTTTTGTTGCACTAGTAGTAGCAGTAATGCAGTAATTTTGTTGCTGGTGAGCATTAACCATCATCGCAATCAAAGTGGTGAAAAATCGCTCTGAAAAAACCAAGACCACTCATCTGACAGACCGTGAATGATGGCTGAATAAATGTGTCACAAAGCTGTTACATTAATTTTTGAAACCATGAAAGCTTTGGTAGGCCATAAATTAGGCAAACTTGTATAAAATTTGGGGCAAAGAAAATTAAGAATCCATTTGCTGCAACAAAAGGGTGGCAATATGACGCCAACCCCCCCCCCCCCTATTTTGCAAAGTGTCCACCACTGTCGACTGGACCACTACTACTCACTAGTGCTATCCTTTGGTAAGAAGATATCCTCCTTTGGAAATCCTCCCCCCGGAGCCCGCCAAAATCCTGCCCGCTGCAAATCAGACCCCCATAAATTTGAGGGCCTGCCACGCAGGCTAGTAAGAAGAATGTTTAACATGGTTCTACACCTAACACTGACACGTATTTTATTTAGAGTTATCTCAGCACAGCAGTTCTAGTGAATCACGGCCATCGACAGCAGCTTCTAGAATCAGTTCAGCACCAAGTGCAAATCTACATCGTGAGAAACTTGTGAAATCATTGAATGCCAGGCGACAATCAAGTGCTGGAAGTGTTCGAACTAGAAGAGGGTCGTTAAAATCGGCAGATGTTGGATCATCTAAAGGTCGTTGGATCGCATGTGGAACAGAAGAAATCAGGTCTTCATTGACGCCAAGCCTGTTCCCCAATCTACCATCGACTATACACTTCACTATTGATGGTGAACGAGGTACAAAATCTTTTGAATGTAGGCTTATTTTGAACTTATTTTAAAGTACAATTTTATCCGGAAGAAGTTCTTTTTTCTGTGCATGAAAAATATGCTAGAAATGAAGTAATGAACTGAAACTAAAAAGGCATGCATGCAGAATTTTTGTGGCGGAGTCATGATAGTGGCACAGTTCCCTGTTTTCCAACATTGCAGTCATATCAGTATTAAGACTATACACGGCAATCCAAATAAGAATTGCATGATAAGGTACCACGCGATAGATTGTACTAAAAAAAAGGGTAAAACGCGGAAAAGAGGGTAAAACGCGGAAAAAAGGGTAAAACGCGGAAAAGGGGTAAAACGCGGAAAAAAGTGTTAGAATAGTTTTTCTTTACGAGGTAGGTATGTAACTTGGTAAAACTATATTTATTCAAAAATTATACACACTAGTCCTTTCAACTATGATTTCCACGAAGGGCGTGTGTTATGTCATAAAAAAGCTACATACATTTACGATATTCTGATACTATTAACAACCCTGATAACTCAAATATTAACCTCAATTAACCTACATATTAACTACTGGGGTGTATGGGGGGGGGGGG